AAACAGGGCAAAAAAAAAAAAAAAAGGAAAGAAAAGAGAAAAAAAAATTGCAATGACCAAACCCGAGCGTTTGCAGCCCGCCGGCACATCCGTCAGCTACTTTTGCAGGGCTAAAAGCGTTGCCGGGCTAAAGGGCGCTGTTAGACGCCGCAAGTCTAACAGGCGTTTCTCTCCCCGTCAGGTTAAATCAGAGCTCGGACGGTGCAGCTACAGAAAGAAAAAAAAGCTACAAAGGAAAAGCTGGGGTTTTTTTTTCCTTCGGTTCAGAGAATAGGAGGAGGGAGGGAAAAAAGAAAAAAGGACTTTAATGACACAGTCGTTTTCTGTTCCCTGCAGGATAAAAGCAGGCTTTTTATATAGCAAGTCATCCCAAACCCGTTTGCAGCTTCCCCGCGGTAAGAAAAGCCTCACGGGCGGCAGGCAGGAGAGGTGCGTGCTTGACAGCACACCTATATACACACCTATATACACACCTATATACACGCGCGCACATATGTCGCGATATATTCACTAACCAAGCACCCAGAATAGGCATCTACAGGCAAAGCTGATAATTTGGGCCATAATCCCAGTAACGCATCACTGCCCGGCGCTTTGTTCTGTTATGCAGGAAAGGACCGGTCGCTACTCGTTATTTGTTATTAAGGGATAGCGGTTTAAGCGCTGGTTTAAGTGGAGGCAGCTGAGTCTCACTTAGAGCATCGCTCAAGAGGGGTTTAAGGCTCGAGGGCTACAATCACAGCGCCGCAATTTCCCGTCCTTTGTTTTAGCCCGGGGGCGGGGGGAGAGATTCGGGATGAGCATCTCCCCCGCAAAAGCTTTGAATACAAGCTCAAGCGGGGAAGCAGAAAGAAAAACGTTGTTTAAAAAAAAAAAAAAGGGTGGGGGGAGAGTATGCGAACGGCACACCTCGCCTTTGGAGATACGGAAACCTGCCCGGAAAGATCTCTGTTTTTTCCAGGAGATTTGCAGCCCCAGGAAAAGTCTCACTCGGGACCTCGGCGTGCGTTTGCAGACTGCTCGCGCGGATACGGCGGGGGGGGGACCCGAATTACAGCGACCGGGGCAAAAACTGTAAAAAGAGATGAAGATCGGAGCCCCAAAGCGATCGCGGGTCGAGACAGCCCCGGCCGGGCACCCAAGGGACGGGG